AAAAGAACCCAGAAGACCTGCATATGGAATACCTGGCCAACACACCAGTTTCAGACTGTGAAGCAGATGATGAAGACACTGCTGTCTTCAAGCCAGTCTTCACTAGAGCCACAGAAGAACAAATGGCTCTCACCTCTGAAGAAATAGCTGTTTTGGAAGCAACAGCTGAGGATTTCCCTATCTTTCCGGAAACCTCACCTGCGTTTGAAATGGTTCTGACTGAAACTGTTCAAGAGAAGGCAGCCTCTCCCCCACAAGAGCAGAACCAGGAAGCAACTGAAGAAGAAGAATTTCAGCGACTGATCCAATCTCAAGTGCTCGAGATCCTCACTACTCCTTGTGAGATCTCCAATCAGACACAACTTGAGATTCTGGAAAAGTCAGCAGAAATTCCGGAACAGTCAGCTATTCCAGAAACCATGGAGAAAGCAGTAGAAGTCCAAAGGCACTCTGGAGAAGCTGAGAAGGAAACTCAGATGGCAGAAGTGGAGGTCTCTCAAACTCCAATAGCCATCTTTGAAGAACCAAATGAAGCTGAAGATAGTGACTCCCTCTCCAGATACATATCAAATTTTGCACTTGATGAAGCTGAAGGAGAATCTGAGAGGACACTAAAGGTCACTGATGAAGAAGATGTACAAGAAGATGCTGAATCTCTTCCTTTGCAACTCTTCCAAAGGACATCATCTCCTCATCAGGTAACCAATTTTCATTTCCATAGCTCTTCAACCCCTACCCTTCCGGATGAGATACCGGAAATCTGGACAAAGAAGGTCCAAGGGCTGATTGAATCAGCCCTAGCATCTCAACATGCCTCCTTTAGGCAAGAGATAGAGCTAATGGAAGCCAAACACACTAAGCTGATAGAGAAATTTGAAGAGAAACACAGCGCTGATCTCAAGGAGATAAGTAAATCAGTAGAAAAGACTCTAGAGATCATCTCTCTATTGAGTAAAACTGTGAGCAATACGATGGAAATATACACCTCTGACAATCAACTGCAACTCAATGAATTCAACAAAGTCAAGGAGCAAATAGCAAATGTCACAGTTGGTCTACAAAAACAGATGTCCCTTCTCCAAATGGACATCAGATCAGCCCTAGCAATAGCTTCAGCAAATCAGGTAGTAACCAAAGACTACTTGAAGGTGATCATTGACAATCAAAAGGAAGCATAGAAGCTGTTCAGACTTATTGGAGCACATAATGGGAACCGCAAGATGGAAGTGATTCTCCAACAACACAGTCCATCTCCAATACCAGAGCTCCCTATTGCAATCAACGAAGGAGAAGCATCTTATATCCCTTCTCATCTGAACATGACCAATCTGATCCTTGAAGCACAGCAAAGAAATCCGGAAAACTCAGCACAGCACCTATCCAACTCAGAACTGGATGGAACAGAATTTATAGGTGCAGTTGCTGACCACTTCTCAGATGCTACTCAATCAGAAGAAAGGCATGAAAACTAAAAGCGCATCAAAGAACTGTGTGGGAACATGCAGGGCATCAGTGAGGTTGCCGGATCTTCAAAACGCAAGAGGAACTGAAGGTTCTTTTCATCAAACCAGGGGGAAAGTATGTGAAAACACTAATTTGTTTTGATGAAAACACCTTCTTATTTAAACATTGCATTATTGCTTCAACAATTTTTTAATTGCGCTTATTATGCTAAATTATGCTTAATTATTTCTTTCTGAAGCGCATACATTCAGGGGGAATGTAATTCAGGGGGAACTTACCTAATTTTGGCTAACAATTGTTTTTGGCTATGAATTATTGATGAGCTCTAAGCAATGGAAGTCGGATATCTCAGTTTTGGTACTAAAATTGGAAATCTCCGATTCAGGTACTTTACAAAATCTGCCTTCTTAAACTAAGCTTTAATCCTTAATTCATTTCCAACTAGCTCTAAAAGTACTGGTCCTTAGGATTTTTATAATGTACAGGACTTTGGAAAAATAGTACCACTTTTCTTTTAAAAATAAATAAAAATTCATATTTGTTTTGGTCTTACCTTGTCCTAAGTAGAAATTAGAACTATAGGGAATGAAAAATGATAGTTTTATTTTGGGCCTTGAGAACCCAATAGGAATAATTTCCCTGTAGTACATAGCTTTCTTTTCTTTTTGGGCCACTCTTTTGGGCTTAGCCAAACTAAAACAGTTACGTTTCTCAAACCAAATGAAACTGGTTTTCAAATTGGAACAGTTTCAATCCATTGGTAACTGGTAAA